AGAAATCAGGAATGCAGTCAAATCTTGGTTGTATAAATTAGTATTCAGCAAAAAAATCAGAGAGCCTGCTGAAAAATTCTTTTAAATTCCTTTGCATAATTAAGTTATAAATTCTTTTATACATAAGTATATATTAACAATATTGTTATTGAAATTAAGTTTTTGGCATAATAAGCTAAGTTTCGAATTGCATTATAATTGAAATTTTTTCTCCTACTTTCAGAGTTTTGGATTTCAGAATTTCATTACATAATATAGCGATATTTAATAGAATTTGTGAATAATATTTAATATAAGATCTTAAAAACTATTTGACGACAATTTCAATGTACTTTATGTATTATTGGTTAATTTTGATATTTTAAATATAAATATACATACATGCTATTAAATTCTGAGTTTTTTTCTTTGAAATTATAATTGTTAATTTAATAAAAAAATAGAATTAAAATTAAAATTTTGGAAAAATTATTATGTTTTTTAATCTGCATTTATTGAGTTTTGTTTTTATTACAACTGTGTAATATCTACATGAAGGCACTATTTTAGTTTTTATAGGCACTGTTGTATTTTTGTTTAATACAATGAATTTTATTTTTAGATCATTGGTTTTCAATAAATCAATGTTCTATGATTTGGTAACTCAATATTCTATTGTATAACTATATACATATTTAATGCCATAAAAGAAAATATTTATTTTAAAAAAAAATTAATTTAAGCATGTACCATTTTCCATTTCCAAATGCAAATTAATGAGTGTCTAAATAAAAAATTTCGAATACGGCCATTACAAATTAAATTTTTAAAAAATTTAAATTTTAGTTTTAAAATAATGTTAAAAATTTTTTTATAATTCCTTTTTCTTTTATACTCTTAAAGATTTACTAATACATATATTAAAACATTTAATCACGATTTATTTTTGTGGAAATAAAAAAAAATTATACATATAAAATTTAATAATTGAAATTAATATTATTTTGTTTTCTAGTTTTTAAATAGTAATTTTTTTTTTAAATAATTATTTAAGTATTTTTTTTTATTTATTAACAATATTATTGTTGACTTGGATTTAAATTTTTAATATTTATATTACTCTTTTACATTGTAGTTTTTATTAGTAATAATAACAAAATAATATAAAACAATGATATAAAAAAATAATTATAATAATATTAAATTAATTTATTAATTATATACGTATATATATATATAAATATATGTAAGTATATAATATGAATATAAATATATTTTTTTTATACATGTATGAAATGAAAAATAATTTGTTCATGATTTATACAATACTTAAATTCATCTTAATAGAAAATTTGCTATAGCATAAATAAAAATTGATGTGAAAAGTACTGAGCTTCCCGTTGAAGAGGTTGATGTAAAAAAGGCAGTTGTTCTTAATCGATTACCAGCACTTTTACCATTGAGTTCGTCATGAGGTCTGTGACCTTCATTTTCGGCAGCTAAAAAAGAAATTTCGAAGAAAGAAAATAATTTTTAATTTTTTTTTTTTAAATAGTTATAAAGAAAATTTTTTAAAAAATAAATTTAAAGCGTGCAATCAAAAAAATAATTTTTTTTTTTTTGCTTTTAAAGTGTTTGTTTTTGTTTTGAAAATTTTGTTTTTTTTTCTCTAAGAATATATTTTTGTTTATTGTTTCTTTTTTGTGATTTTCGTGTAAAATAAAAAATAGATTGAAAGACGGTATAAAATTACAAAAATAAATTTTAAATTCTTGTGAATAGTTTTGTAACTTAATTTAAAATTAAATTTAGAAAGAAAAAAGTGTTTTTTTGGTTTTTTTACGAATTTGTTTTTCGAAATTCGATAATTTTTTTTGGAATATAATTATAGCATGGAGTTATAAATTTAATATACATATATTTTGTAATACTTATATACAATAGACGCCGGTAGTTTTGATAATTTAAAATTTATTGTTTTTCTTAATTTCAATTTTTGGTTAAAATTTGAAATTAACGCAATAGAAAATAAAGATTTTAAGTTTATAGGTTTAATATACTCAGTTCTTACTTAATTAACAATCTAACTATTGTAAGAGCAATTGTAGGAAAATGAATTTTTAAAATTTTTGAATCTCCTTCATTAATATTTTGAAAAGCTATAAGAATCAGGCTTCAATAGTAATTTAATCATATAATAAAATCTTCGTTTAATTTAAAAATAAAGAAGAATCGAAGTTTTATTGAATCTTAAATAATAGGAAAATTCCTAGAACAAGACTTGAATAAACAAGTTCTATATTTAACAAAAAGTTATAAAAAATATTGGAATTCAATGAAATTTGGACAAAAATATTTTTATAAAGAGATGTAACTATTTAACTATTTATAGTAACTAATATATGTATAGAGTTGTTATATTTATAGGTCGCGAAAAAAACTATATTTAATTGGCAGCAACATTAATATTTTTTATTATAAAAAGAAATTACATATTTGCCAAATGAAATGCAAAATACTGATAAATGCAAAAAAATGTTTTTGTTTTTTTAATTTACTAAATTAAATTTAAGGAAAATTAATAATCTCATTTGCGCTTAAGAATATTTGAAATTCAAATGAAGCTAGTGGATTTTTGCTGCATTTGCCGATATTTCTTGTACGCTGAATGCATTTCCACTATATATTAAATGAAGAAAATATTTCAATGCTCTAAAAAAACTTATAAGTATTTTTTAATTTATTTTAATATTTATTTTAAAATTTATATTCATCTATTTCTTGGCTTCAACTTTTAAATGTTAGATGTTTTTTTCTTCTTTACATCAAAAATTTATCGATTTATAATATTAATAAGTAGACAAAAATGCACAATGACATAGAAATTTTTCATTAATAAAGAAAATTAATTTTTTTTTCAGGCTTTAGTCACAAGAAATTTATTATGCATGTATTTTATGCTATAAATTTAATGATGCATGTATATGTATGAATATGTGTATATTTACAGTGGATTTTAGAGTAATATTGTTAATAAAATAATTTTATAAAAATAAACGAATTAAATGTTAAAATATTTACAAATTTTTTTAATTTATAATTTGATTATTATAATTTGTATTGTCGAAAAACAAATTCATAAAAAAATTTAATAAAAAAATTAAAAATAATAATAATTTGGTAAATTTAAGATTGGTTCATTTAAAAATTATTGAAATTTTAAACTAGATTTATTTATATATGTAGTTAAAAAATCAAGAAAAATATTTAATACAATCAAATAATACAAAATAATAAAATGTTGCATGAATTAAATAATATTATTGTCAGAAATAACAAAAATTGTGGCATGACCGTTTTAAGTCAAATTAAATTTGTTTGTAAATGAAAATTTAAGAAAATTTTCGTGTTACATAATTCTAACAATGAGATAAATACAATTTTATGTAATAGAAAATTAATTGTAAGTTATAATAACCATTAGATATAATATAAAACGTGACACTTAAACAAACTGTATCGGCCATATGCATAAAATGGTATATTGGGCTAAAATATAAAAAATTAAGATGAAAAATGTTAAATTTTGTTCAAATAATTGACTAAAAGACCACGCTTTCATTTGAATAAATTATAATTGTAATAAATGAGTAATAAAAAGTTTTTTTATGAATTACGATATAGCCAACATCTTATTATATTGTTTATTATTTAATTATTTTCAAGCAATTTGTGTTTGTTTATTACGAGCACAGCACAGGAGTCAATCTAACTTTAAAAATTAATAAATTTCTTAAGCTCAACAAAAAAAAATCTAGTTAAAGAACCAATCTTAAGAATAAATAAGAATTTAATATAAAAAATTTAAAATGCCAAATTAAAGGGAAATATAAAAAATATTATAGAAAAAAAAACTTAAAATAATAATAAAAATGATAATAATGTAAAACGTACATGAAACATTTAGAATCGTGTAATTTATACAATTTTTAACGAATTTATACAAAATTATGAGCACATATATGTAGATGAACGAACGAACATTTTAATATTATATTATAATAATTGAAAACAAATATGTATAAAGAAAATTTACAAAAAGAAAAAAAAATCGATATTTGTTTGTTCTTCGCTTTCTATTAAATGTCTTTTGTTCTCGTTCCAAAATTAATTTCTATAGACCGCATATTATTGTTTTTAATTCCTTGATCGTAATTTTCGTTTTTATAAATTTAACATTTTGTGAGCCATAACATAAATTTTCTGTATCCTTCGAATATATGCACACAAAGTAAAATTTTAAGAAAAGTTAGTTTTTTTTTTTTGTTTCCACTAAATTTCGTTTATTTGTAATTTTTTTTATTTTATTATTTATTATAATTATTTCTAAAATGCATTTTATTATACATAATAATAATGCTATTATCACGATTTTTTTTTTCGAAAATTAATATATTATTCGAATTTTCTATCATAATAATTGGAAATTAATAACGAATCTTTTATGTACATATATAATGTATTTATGTAAGATTTAAAAACATTCTCAATAATACGAATTATTCCCATCGGCATAATAATAGAAAATCGGTGGCAGAAGTCTTCTTCGTCGTCCAATCCCTATCCATATTATATTGTACACATTATTATGTTGATAAGTTGTTGTTGTTGTTATTGCCATTTGTTGTTTATATATACAGGAAAACACATATACACACACGATTAAAGATAATTATTTATTAGTTTATATATATATGTACATTGTTTTATATAACAAATTTTAGTTGACGGATGATTTGTGTTATTTTTTTAAATTTTAATTGATTATAAAATTGCATGATTCCAGGCGCATTGTTTGATTTTTTTTTTTGATTTTTTTGTCCCAAAATTTGTTAATTTTGCGTTATTATTATTATTTTTTTTTTTGGATTAATTATGAGTTTTATTTTTTATACAATAAGGCACAGTTTTATGTTAATTTTTTTTTTATTATTTGAATTTTTTTAGTTAAACGAAGATGGTTTTATTATTTTTCCATTCAAAATTTACATTTTAAAGGACGCACGTTAATATTTGTGAAATAAAATTATTTTAAAATAAAAGAAAAATGAAAAAAAAAATATTAATTTAAAAAAAATGAAAAAAAAATTTATATTATTTTCCAATTTAGTTTATTAGTTTTCTTTTTATCACTATATTTCATTAATTTTTGGATGCAAATCTATTATTATTAGGCCAGGCATTAGTTGCATATTATTAATTTTGAATATTAAAGAAAAATTTGTAACAAATAGTAAATTGGAATTGTACTAAATAGGGTGGGTAGGTACCAGAAAATGAAATTTTTATACAAAATTAATAAAAGAAAAAAATTGCGAGAAGTTTTCATAAAAGTTTTAATTTGTCTTTAAGATGATATTTGTTTTTTATTTCCAAAACTAATTTATACACTAAATTAAATTTTTAACTTTCTTTGTTTTTAGAAAAGAAAAAGTTAATTTTGAAGGAAAAATCAGAGGGGTAGTAGCTGTTAACTTTGTACCTTGACTTCTGTAAAAATTTTTAATGTTTATTTTTTTATTTTAAAGGAAATAAAATAAAATATAAAGCAATAAAAAAAAAGAAAAGAAAAAAGAAAAATAAGAAATATAAGTTAAAATTATTTTGAAAATATTGAAAATTAAAAAAAAAATTGTGAAAATTGCAGAATAATCCAAAATAGAATTTTATTTTTCTGTTTTATAAAAATTTAATTATAAAATTTAAAGTGAAATAAAAATTGCGTGTATTCATGAAAAATTTTGTGCGGTAAGTGTGAAAGAAATTCAAATTAAAGTCCAGTATCATTTCAATTTTAATTGAACTGAAAAAAAAGATTCAAACTTAAGTGGTGTATCAATATCTTTTATTAATTTTTTTAAATCTAGTATGTATTTAGTAGGAAATAAGAAGAAATCTAATAAAATTTGAATACCATTAAATTATAATAGAAAAGTTTTAATCTCGATATTTTAGCCTTTAATTTAAAATTTTTTTTATTGAACATTATTAATAAATGAGAAAATAAATAAATAATTTTCCATTTTATAAAAATAAACCAAAAAGGTTATTCAAAAATTAATAAATTGCTGTATTTGAAATTTAAAAAGTTTGAATCTTTTTGTTTTGTAATTATAGGTGTGTAGAATTAAAGTTATAAGAATATAATTAACAAGATGACCCTATTCTCATAATTCCAATAATAAATTACAATAATTCTCCAATGAATTAATTAAAATTTCCAAAACTGTGCAAACATATATAAAATAATTACCACAAATATAAATATAACAATGTTGCAAAGTAAAAATTAAAACCAAGTATATAATTTATAAAAATTCAAAAATTTTAATAATAATTATATTAATAATATTAATATAAATGTAAATTTTGAAAACTTTGCAACATTTTCTGTTCTATTAATTAATAAATAAAAAAAATAATAACATAGTTGTGCATTTTGTGTAGATAATAATTTCCATATAAAAAGAATGTAATATATAATTAATTGTTAAAAATTTACATCATATAGCTCACAAAAATCAAGGTTATTTAAATTGAAGTGACAGAAAAATACTACGAAATAAACAATATTATAAAATAATTTATTATATAAGGAGAAATTAAGAAAAAAAAAATGCTCATTTGTTTGTTCATCCATCATATTGCATGCTTTAAAATATAATATACAAAAAAAATTTTGAAATTTGAGGACAATACATGTATAAATGTTTTATTGTAAAGAAAAAAATAAATATTGTAAAATTTGTAAAAGTTTCCAAAAGTTTCAACACAAATGTTCCTAATTAAAATTTTATATAAAGAAGTGCAACCCATAAAAAAAGAACATTTATTTCATTTTTAAAAATTTTAATACTAATATAAATTTTGATTGGGAGAAATGGTAAATTCAATTAAAAAGTGTTTCTCTGTTAAAAATAATAGAATTTAAATTCGTAAATAAAATTAAAAAAAAAAGTTGCAATTTAATTTCTATAAAATAAACAAATAAAAACATTTTGAATATTATACACTAATATACAGGAATAATATTAATGTAGAAACAGAGATACACTTATTTTTAAATAAACCATATGTTTAAAAAATGGTATAATAATTTTTTACATTTTGTTTTTCAAAATTTTAATTATTTTTTAAAATTTCGGTTATTTTAAAAACTGTTATACTCCAAACTGTTATACATTACTGTAACTGTTATACTGTTGGAATTTAGTGTAATAATATCTGTAATTTTTAAAAATCTGTAAAAAATGGAAATTTATATTGTATAACAGTTATATAAATTAATATACCACTTTTAAAACATTTTTTGTGTACAACTCTAAATAAAATTCATAAATCATTTGTTATATACATACATCCATAATAAACAGACATTTTTTTTTAAAAACTTCACATAAAAATAATATTATAATATATGGTTGTATATAATAAAATATAATATTAATTATAAATTAATTATTATTGTTATATTAATTATTTGATATTATCTTTTTGTATTTATTCTTAAATATTTATAAATTGATATTAATATTGATATATGAAAAATGTGACAAAATAGAAAATAAAATCTGATACCCAAAGACGGAAAGAAAGTTTTGTGCATAAAATGAAATCATGCAATGCAAACTTTTTCATGCAAAATTACTCAAAAATTACAACTATAAAGCACTTAAATTCTAGTGTCAATTTTTATAATAATGTGCAGAAAACTATTTGTTAATTGTGTAAATATTGTAAGTATAATGGTGTGGAATTATTTAAAAATTTTGTTAAAAAATATTGCTTTTTTTTAATTGCATGCAAAAATATTATTAAAATTTAATAAAATTTATAAAAAAAATTATTGGTTTTAGTAAGAAATTTTATTTATTTTTTAATTTTTGATAGCTTTTTGGTTAGTGAAACCGACCATGAATCTTATGTTTTTACTTTTCAATTTTTTATTATATAAGGTTGTTTAAAGTTAATGAAATATTGCCAATTCATTTCTATATACTTAGTATAATTTTAATTTTATAAAAAAATTTTTTTTTGTATTTCCTTTGAATAATCTTTTTCGCTTTTTTTGTTTTTTAAATATTTATAAATTTACTAGGCCAATTAAAATTTACCCTTTAATAAAATTAATTTTTTTATTATATTTTGCTTTATAAAAAAATTAATTAAAATTAATTTAATTAATTTTAAATAAAAAATAAATTTATTAAAATTATTTTTATATAAACGAAAAACATTTTTGTTTACATAGTTTATATATATTAAGTAATTAATTTAAAAGGAAAATTTTAGTAAATTTACTTAAGTAATGAAATAAGAATTAATATTATAATGAAAAGAAATATTTATAAATTATATATTTAGTAAAAATAAATAAAAATTGTTATATTAAACAAAATAAAATTTAATTAAGTAAGTATATATAAAAAAAAAAAGGCCCAACAAAAGAAAAAAATTTAAAATGAAAAATATTTTAATAATTAATTAGTAAATAAAAGAAAAAAATATTTTATTTTAAAAATATTAAAATTAAGAAAAAATATGTGAAAAGTGCTAAAAATAAAATTAAAAAATTAAAATAAAAATTTTAAAATTAATTAAAGAAAAAGAGAAAAAAATAAAATTAAGTACTCACACTCTTATTTATTTACACAATTGTTATTTTGAAGAAATTTTATATACACACACAAATATTTATACGATAGATTGTAAATTTGAGTAAGTATGTTTAAAAGCTTAAAACACCATATAATAAGCATTACTGTCATAATTATTATCATATTTGTTAAAATTACTGTCATCATAAATGATATAAAACTTTGGATAATCATAATTAGAGTTGAATTCATTATCATTATTATCGATAGTATTTCCATAACTGTCAAATATTGTATGCGCTTCACTTGGTTCTGCTACTTAAACAATACAATTTAAATATATATAATTTTTGACGTTTCATTTAGAAAATAACTCAATATAGATTTTTAAATATACAAATATTTATAATTTTTTTTTTTTCTACATAATTAAAAGTATAAAAATGTTATACAATTTTGAAGAGTATTTCTAAATATGGTAAATAGTAAATATCAAATCGAATCACGATGTAATTTCCTCAAAATATTGTAATGTTGTGTAAAACATTTTTAAAATTTTTAGATTTTTGTTTATTGCTATTCAAATATCGAATTTTAAATAAACTCTTGTTTTTATGAAACAAAAATTTTTTAATTTAAATTTCAGTTATTTATTGAAATTGGTAAAGTTCTGGTTAAGGAAAAATTCCTCAATTGAGTATAAAAGGCAATTATATTATTTTAGAACCCGAAACATAATATGTTATTAAAAAATCTAGTATAAATTTATGTTTAAATTACAAATTGTTTAAATTAAAGCTGTAATCTTCCTCTTAAATCGTTTTATATACTTAAAATTTAATAAATTTCAAGTGATTAGGAACATAATAAATTCCACAAGAATTTGACTTGCAAACGGAACCTTAAACTTTAATAGTGTATTAATTTTTCTAAGAGAAATCTCGTTGGAATTCAAAAATTAACAAATTTTATGCAAATACAATAATTACAATGTATATGCATTTTGTTAATCAAATAAATATTATAGACATTGCGTTTGAATAAGAGCCAAAACCATAGCCTTGATATTAAATTAAAATATTAAAAAATAAAACAATACAAATAAAGTGCATACACAAAATACATATGTAGATAGAAAAACTTAAAAAAAATATTAAGAAGAATGAGGAAATTTTAATAATGTAGAAAGAAAGAACCATAACCAAAAACTACAAAAAATAAAATTATTTAAAATAGAAAAAAAAAAACAATAAAAATGTTTTATTATATAATTTAAATAATTTCATATAAAGCATAAATGATAAGCAAAAAAATTAATTTTTTTTAATTAATATTATAGTTAAAAAATTAAAAATTAAAAAAAAAAATCAAAATTTTTTTCAAAATAAAACTTTATATGCAAAATAAAAATGAAATTTATATAAACAAAATTAAATTAATTTAAAATTATTTTATATATAAATTTGTATAATAATAATTAATAATATAAATTTAAAATTTATTTATATTTGTATATTTTCTTATATAATAATTTTAAAATAATATTAACTATTAATTATTACATTTTTGTCAATGAATTTATTTAGTAGAAAATTAATATAAAAATTTATATATATATATATAATATGTACAAAAAACAACATACCACAACTTCGGTAATAGATTTGAAATTTTTATAAATTTTCATTATTGAATTTATTTAATGAAGTATTATTAATTATATATAAGAATTTCAAATTTTCTCTTATTAATAAAAACTCTAAATGAAATATTTTACTTATATTATAATAGTATATGATAATGAAATTAATAATATTTACAAAAAATTATTATTCAATATTGGATATTTTTTAATTTATTATTAAAAATATATTCATAATTTTTGTTTTTTCAATTTAATTTGAGTATATAGAGATCAATAACTATATATATAATAATACTCGTAATAATAATAATTCTAATATTAAAGACCTAATATAAAATTACATAACACTTTAAGTATTCTTTTAAATATACTTTTTTTTTTGTTCTTCTTATAACATTATTAAGAAACAAGAATTTACAAATTCGCAATTTTCATTTTCTATTTATATAATTTAATATTATTAAAAAAAAAATAATTTCTTTTTACTCTATATTTATATATATATGCATTTATAATTTATTATTATTCAAAATGATCTTTAAAATGCCCGGCATCAGGTCGGTTCCACTTACCTGCATCGAAAATTAAAGTATCATCAATAACATCACGATTTGATGTATGATCTGATGAATGATATTGTTCTAAACTTTCTCCAGCTTTTACCATACCTAAAGAATTAAATGATGATGGAACATTTTTACAACCGAACCACCAATAACCGGATGGTCTAGGGAATGGTGGATCTGCTTGATCAACCTAAAAAACAAAAAATTGAAAAAAAAATTAATTAGAAATTTTATTGAAAAATTTAAATTTTTAATTTAAATTAAATAAAAAATAAATTTTTTTTTTTTTGATATTACACTTACCGAAAATGTCCTATCATTAAACCTATAATATTTATCACCTTTAAAGAAATATGTATAACCATTTGTATATTGTACTGATGCATCAATATTATTTGGCAAGCCTTCCCAATTTGATATTGGTTTTGGATATGTTGCTTTAACTGGTGGCCGTTTTATTGGATCAAAACGCCAAAATTTACTACCCTTATAGAAATATATTTTACCATTACCACCCCATACCATAGCAGCATCTAAATGATCTGGTATACCAGTGAAACCTTCACTTATTTCTTTTGGATAATCACCATCCATTTTACCACCAGAATAACGCCAATATTTTGTACCTTTGAAGAAATATGTTTTACCATTTTTATATGTAAATGCTGCATCGATGTCCCCTAAAAAACAAATTAAAAATATTTTTTTCTTGTAAATATAGCTATTCTAATTTTAATTTTTAATTCCTTTAAAATAAAAATTTTTGAAGAAAAAAAAAATACCTGGAAGCCCAATCCATGTTTCAGATATTAATTTTGGATATCCATCAGCTATTGAATTTTCAGTTAATTTGTAATATTTATCACCCTTAAATGCAAATGTTTGACCATCTTGTGAATTAAAAAGTGCATCGATTTTTGGATCTTTACATAAATCTGAATCATCACGTGGTTTTGTACGTCTTGTTGGTATTGTTGGACGTGTTGTTGTACCAGAATCAGTTGGTACAATTTTTGTTTTACGTCCATATAATGCTTGTATTGCTAATATATCATCGGAATCTAATCTAAATACAGGATCATAACCACGATAAAATGGTGCCATTAAAGCTGATCTTGTATCTGAATGACTTAAGCCTAATGAATGACCAAATTCATGTGCTGCTACTTGAAATAAATTTGTACCACTATATGCACCGATTGTCCAATGTTCGGCATCATCGAAATGTGCATCACCACCATATACTGGAAAATATGCATGTGCTAATGTACCACTTGGTCCATCAAATGGATCACCATCACCATGTTCACCTTCAGCGAATCTATATAAAAATAAATGTATAAACCATATTACATATAATAATACAACTACTATTTAAAAAATATTTTTATTCAATTACTTAATATCAATATGAACTGGTCCGCTTTTCTTTTGTGTAAATGTTAAATCTGTATATGCACCCCAAACACCAAATGCTTTTGCAATAACATTATCAACATCAGTTTTTTTTAATCTTTTTGGATATTGTGATATTTTATATGATAATGATTTTACTTTCCAACGGCTACCCTGTAAAGCATAACGTTTTGCTCTTGAATCCGACCCAAAACCAACTTTATCACGAACACCACAACGTGGTAATGTCATTGTATGCATTGTTTCATCATCTAATTCACCAGTTACATTTAAACCTGCAAATGATTGAAATTCTTGTATGGCTTTTACCCACGTGGTTTCATCTAATAATCCACCACTTGATGGATTTCTTGCTGCCGGTGGTAAATAACCAAACTGTGATAAATAAATCTGCAAAAAACAAACAAAATAAAAAATTAATATTATGTATTTCTTTTTAAATAAAAAATTTAAATATTAAAAAATAAAATGCATAAATAATATTCTTTATTATTCTAAATTGATTTGGCGGAGGCCTTTGAACTTCCATTAAAATTATTTTTTGATACACATAAAAGGTTTAAATACTCAAGCAAAAAAAAAAATTAAAATATTCTATAAAATACCATTTTGTTTGCATGACCGCACATCAAAATATTAAAAAAATTTAATAAAAATATCATTATTCTGACAAAAATGGACATCTTCTCGTGTGCTGCGACAAATTTATGTCCACCCATTTGAATAATAAGAATTTAAAAAAAAAAAACAAAACTGGAAACGTGTTAATATTTACATTTAGAGAGAATTCGACAAAATTTTTTGATTGTATTTTTTGAAATCTTAAAATATACTTTAAAAAATTTTGTTTTTAAAATAATCCAGTCTCGTAAATAAAGCGCTCCGCTCCCGTCAACGCTTATTATGAACCAAAAATATTAAAAGGTAACAACGGGAATATGAAAATGAAGAGTCTAATTGCATCGAGGAATAAATTTGGAATGAAAAGAATTGTTCTTTTTGTTTTTTAATATTTTTTACAAAATAATATTCTTGAAATTTTGTTGTTTTCTTCACAAAATTTTATTTTAACTGAGATTGACTTGTTAATGTTAATGTGGACATAACCATATTTGTATTATGATTTTTTTTTTATTTTTACAAGCAGAATAAACAAAACTTTTTTCAATTCAATAAATTATAAATTTTAATAAGAATTTAAAAAAATGTAAGAATAATTTTCCAAAAAATAACAATAAAATTTAAAATTCATGTAAAGGAGGCGAAAATTCAAATGTAAAATGAAAAAAATATTGTCGATGCCAAATTGGCTCGCGTTATTAACTTGGCTTTAAGTCAAGTATGTTTTTTTTTTTTCATTTGTTTGTTTTTGTACTCTGTCGGTTGCCTCTTATTGTCATTTATTTTCATAGATTGTAACAGAGACCGAACAGGGATCGTTATGATTCTCTTATTTTTATTTTCCTTGCAAAATTGATTTATTTTACATTTTGATTTGTTTTTTCTGTTTTATGGTGGTGCTTAAAACAATAGCAAAAGTCAATTCATATAATAAAAAGTTTTAAGTTTTTCAATATTTTTAAAATTGAATAATAATTCTTTAAAAACAAAATTAAGAAAAATGAAAATAAAAAATTCTTTTACAATATTGTAAATTTTCCTTTGTTATTTTTATTTTTTTTTTTAGAATTTCGAGGATTTTTTCATTTGCATTCACTACGCATTTTCAGTAAAATCCAAATAAAAAAAAAAATGAAGTTGTTTTTATTTATTTTGTTCGTAAAACTTCCAAGTTCTGAGTTATTATTGTTGCTGTGACCGTCGAGGTGATTGACAACCAGCTATGCAATATGATTTTATTGTTACATGTTATTATAAACATTTCTATTTCTATATAGAGTATTGAGTTTCTGAAATATGAGGTTTTGTGCAATTTTTATACAATATTATTATGGTTGTTAAGATCAGTATTCGTGTATCTACTTTATTTTCAAAATGACACTGTAAAAAAAAAATTTCACACTAAAATTGTAAGTCGCAATTTCTAAATTGTAAGTCGATCAATCGAAATTACAATTGGAATAACATTAATACAATATAATAGGAATAAAATATACATATGCTTGCATTGATATGCATTAAGCTTATTTACGTAGAATTTATGCACTTTAATATTGTGTGACATGCTTGAAGAATACCTATTGAATATTATAGTGACAAAAGTGAGGAAAAAATATAGAATATTCATGCTGATTTTACTTTTAACTCCTATATGAGTACCTTCATTTGATGAAAGTGAGAAACTTTGTCTGTTTTTAAATGTCAAAAAGTATTTTTGAGCCTTTAATTGACAGAGATGGTACACATTTTCTTTTTGTATGAAAGAAAATTTATATAATAAAAAAGAGTAAATAATTCTGACGAGGGTCACGATATAAGTATAATTGTTACTTAACGTAAGTTAAGCAAGTGTAAAATGTGTCAAATAAATGTAACTAAATAAATGTCAAATATTATCGTTGTAAATGTCAAAAAACTGATAACGTTATTTAATTACGAAATTATTTAATATCTGTTAATAATTGATATTGGGTTAAGGGACTGCTAAGATGTGCGTTACGCCATTTTGGTAATTCATTCCTGGTCGATTTTTTGTCAAATAATAATAGATATTTTGTTTTACAATGCTATGGGTATTTCCCCTCATTATTATTTCTTTCTTTATTGATGTATGCATAATTGAAATACAAAATATGCTTACAATATATAATTATTTTTTTTCCGAAAAAGAATTCTGGGAAAATAGCCAATTATTTAAATATGTCAATTTAAAACATTGTAATTAAAAGTAATTTAAGTATGTTTTCTTTAATTTATTTGATAGTTTTATGCTATATGCATACATACATATTTTGGATTGGGACACGCTTATTTTATTAATTTTATTTTAATTTATTTTGTATTTTATTATTATTCAAGTATTTATTTTAGACTTTAATAGATAATCAATTTCAATTCTAATTGACATAATTAAAATAATTATAAATTTTTAATTTGAGAAAAAAAAAATTAAAAAATTTTTAAGGTTTTCTAAATATATTATTAAAATTATTTTATATACACACATCTACATAATTATATATAATAATATGTTATATGTGTTATTTGTTTTTCTGCAGTCGAAGGATAGTATGTTAGAATTTATTACATTGAAGATCATTTGAGAAATGCATAAGTGTAATTGAAATTCATAAATAATTAAAAAATTTTGAATACCCTTTTTAATATTGAATACTACTTTTATATGTAAGTAAGGAAAAGCATTCAGAAATTATTGAAAATCTCATTGTATATTGATAAAGTATTAGAGCTTAGTAATTGATCTGGTTTTTATTTAAAATTTTTACAAAAAGACTGTGAAATAATCAATATACTCATCAGAAAATGAAGAAAATTTTCAAACGTTTTCATTGATTTTATAAAATTTTGATAAAATATTTATGAAAAAATGATGATTGATTCAAAACATATAACAATCCTCATAATGTTTATAGTTTGGGAGATTTAGCAATCAAAATTTTATTTTTCAATTCGTATAATGGCATGTAATAATGATAAAAGGAATTTTTTTTGCAGAATAATAAAATTTTCATATTTTACAAATTTTACATTTTTACATTAAAATTTTGGTTTTTATTTCAATCGATTACTTTTACTCCGCATTACTCTGTATAGCCTTTAAAACTTTCTGTATAAACATTGTGCAACCGACACAGAAATATTATTATTGACCATCTTTGAATTTTATGTAATATAGAATAAGGATATAGAACGAGCAAACGTTTAATTTAAAAATTCAATACCATAAAATTCATTTTATATTAATTTCTCTTGGGAAAATAAAATCTAAAATACTTTAAGAAGTTTCTTAATTTTTTTATCAATATAACAGCTATAATGCTATACCTGAATTGTAGTACAATAATTTTAATTTTATATTAAAAAAAAATATGCATTTCTTGAGCGACTTATGATATTCATCAATTCCATGTTTCGATAACTCTGTCTTATTCCAGGTTTTTTAAAACTGGATCTTAAGTCTAAATATTAAGAACGAGAAGAGCTAGAAATCTTGAAGTTCTATGCACAATAAATAAATGGTAATATTAGGATGTAAGAATAATATTCACGTTCTCTATAAAATAATATACGAAAAATTCTTTATGGTTAAAGTAAAGGACTTGCCTTATTAAATCGTGCTAACCGATATGCTATCATGAGTAATATTGAAATTGAATTGATTTTTATTAAAAAATTCATTCAATCAACCTGGGACAAAGTGTAAAACATCTTTGCATTTAAATTTTAGAAAGAAATTTGCGGTTTTATATAAAAATAATTCTTGTCTTCACATTCAATGATCTTTAAAATTGATCGTGAAAATTATTATTAAATTGAAATAGCTAATTGAATCTAATTGAAAATAGAAATTTCTCGTTTTCCAAATTTTATATAAAATAAGGAAATTGCATTTATGCATTCACACACTCAAATACAAGTAGCAAATATGAAAAATATCACCTTAAATTGAAAAAATCAATGAAATTTAATTGGATTTTCTAGTTTTACTAAATCTAGTTAATTGTACATAAACACATATACCCATTTTTTTCTGAAAAATAATGCCATTGTCTATTGTAAGTTTTAAACTTTTAGAATTTTACAATATTTAATTTTAATTTAATTTTTGAAATGATTTATTGACACTCCTGTCTTCAACCTTGACAATGATTCTTTTCAAACTATTTAGTTTTGAATTTTTTGTATGTGTATAATTTGTTATACGTTTATAATTTGCTTTTATTTTTTGATTATATTCTTTTGTACACATTATATGTGAGATAACTGTACATATAGAAATTAAGATAATTGAAAATTTCTTTTGATATGAAAATTCGTTTTATGATTGATGAAAATATTGTAGAGATTTGATTTTAAATATATAATTAAAAAGATATGAAGCGATATATTGTGTTATAATGTTATACATTCAATAAAATACAGTAAAGTACTAAAAACAGTATAGTAGGTCAGAGTTAGTGTTGACTTACATTTTCTAATACATTTTGTGCAATATGTTTAAATGCAAGTATTATAACACTTTCAATATTAAAAATAAGTTTTATTAAACTAAAATTTCAACTATATTTAAAGCACGCGATTCTTGTTATACGAATAACCCTAAATGATTAGCTTTTCACCGTAAACCCCATATTGAACCCCAGAAATCATGGATGTTTATACTTAAATCAAGAATATTTTTCATTTATAAATTTACGCTGAAGTTCAAACAATTTTGATTCGAATTGTGTAGTTATATTACTGATAAA